GAAATATAATGGCTGGCTTTTTCTACCGCGGCATAATATATTTAAAGTTAAAAAAAAAAATTCCCCTTAAAATTTACCGTTATCTAAAATCCTAATTTTTGATGTCGTTTTTTCAAATTTTTGATGCCGTTTTTTTTCAAGTTTTTGATATCGTTTTTCCTCTAGACCCCAGATTGTGGAATTCTGAAATTTTAACAGCTTTTAGACACTAATAAATAGTTCATTTCATTAGAAGAAAGCATTTTTCCACCTCCACCCCCCTCAAGTTATCATCTTTGAAATTTCTAAAATTTTAATTTTTTGCACCTTATATTTGCGAAACCGCAAGCTTTTCCAAATTTCTATAAAAACCGAAAGCTAACGGTAAATTCTATGTCATTAATTATAATTATTTTTCTTAACTCAAGCAATTAACCCTTAAAATCGAGCATTATGTTAACTCCTCTTTAAATTAATTTTTACTGCATTTTAAAGACTGCAATAAATAGCCCATTCTATAATTAGGATGCAATCGTTGAAATAGTTTCGTATATGAATGAAAGTAATTTTAATAATATGCTAGGTATAGATAGATTATTTTTAAAAGCAATATTTTCACTTGTTGAAGGGAAAAGTGCTACAATACAAACCATTGGTTTGAACAAATTTTATTTCTTGTAGCATGTTATCTCTTTCGTTTTTTGAACAATATGATATTATTTTTTTTTTCAAGGTGAAGTTGTCAAAAATGACTTGCCTGAAAAGCATTTATTTTTAGTTATTTGAAATCAGTTATATTTTTACTTTTCAGTAGTATTGATAATAATTTCATAGTGTTTTTAATATTATCTTTTTGCATATTGGATAGTTAGAAAAAAAAATAATATAATTAAATTGAATATACTAATTGTACGATATTAAAACGTTTGTATAAATGGTTATTTATCATAAAGAAAAATTATAAATAAATAAAACCAAAGACTATGGTGACGGCGAATATTATTATTGGTAATGTGGCAACTCTGTTATGTGATGAAAGTTGTATATTTTGTGAAAACTGGTTTAACGAGCTAAACAAACATAATATATTTGAAATTTTTGTTTTAATATAAAAGATTAACTTACGTATAAGATTTAGTTTAGCGAAAAATAAAAAAAATAAGCTTTTCGCCATCTTTTGTTCATTGTAGTTTAATTAGAATAATAAGTTTTTTGTAATATGAAAATTATTTTGAATTTATTATTATGAAACATACTTTGAATTTCACCATGAACATAAGTTTAACGTCTTGTTTAAATGTGCAAGAAAGATTATGTGGACTGTTTTACAAATTTCGGAAAATATTTCAAAAGTAATAAAAACAGATGAAACAAAATTATAAATAAATAAAAATAATAAATAAAATTTTTCTTTTGGGAAGAGCGAAATAAAATTCATTAAAATATAAATTATTTGACACGTAATTAAATAATATGTAGGTTTTTCTGGCAGACTATGATATCTACATTTTTGCAATTTCGAATAAAACATCATTGAATTTTTTTTGTGTTATTTTGGTTTTACTATAACATTAACTGGTTAAAATTTAGTGAAGATGTTTTGAAAAGTTAGCATTTTAAAACGCTGCTTCTAAATATTATATAGCATTAAAATTTTTCCATATCAAATAAGATATACACTTTTTCCAATTTTAATTAGAATTAATCAGAACTGAATAAGTCTGAACAGAGATAAGTGATTATCTAGTTTTAAATGTTTTTACCATGCGTTTCACTTATATGAAAATAACCAACATCGACATTTAAATATGAAATGTAGAAATGAATATGTGCAGATGTTTCATTTTCTACTTGAACGAAACGATAAAAAAACTAGAGAACATTTTCATTTCAAAAGTGTATAACATGACATATCTATATTTCAACGCCTTTTAACGATACTTTTATGTTTTACTTAACGAAAATTTTATAATCTCGAGAAGTAAATAACTGTTGATACCTAATTTTGTCAGAAAAATTTTTGGAACAATTGGTTAGTTGTTTTAAAAATTTGTTTTTAAACTAATGGAAAAATTAATTTTTTTTTTTGCATTAGAAAGCGCTTAAAATTTAAGTAATACTGCATTCATAACTATTTTTTGTCAAAAATGCAGATATGATGTTCTGACATTATATATTACAAAATTGATATATTAAAAAAATCTGATGTGGTCAGGCACTTAACCGACCGTAATGTGTTGTCTAGTTAACTGAAAGTGTTACAGATTATTATAAAAATGCCTGTTAAATAGTTAAGTAAGTTTATAGTTAACATACCTAGAGAAATGTAAATTTGGCTTTTAGTAGAGTTTCGCTGTATTCCACCCGAATTCCCTGAAATGCCGCCCCCCGCAGTTGGTTTTGGCCCAACCAGAACTTAAGTATCAAATTTCAAGAAACTCCATCAATTCGTTCCGCAGATATGGTAAAAAATGTAAAATCGGCCTTCAGATCCGTTTCCGAGCCCTGATCTTTCCAAAAAATTTATAGATTCATTGTTTTAATACGAAGAATTTAAATATTAAATTTCAATGAGATCGGTTGATTATTTCCCTTTATATATAAAGGGAAATAATATACGTTTATAAACGTGCAATTACTGACGCCTGATTTCTTCTAAAAGTTAGGAGGTTTCGCGGACGGTTGAGTGAAGCTTATATATGAAATTTCAAGTAAATCTTTTAAATATTTTCTTCATAAATCCCAAAAGTTTATCAATCCGTGCCATAGTCGAAAAAAAACTTACATATAAAATTTCATCAAAATCGGTTGCGATGCACGCGTGCACACACAGATCACGAGGCATGGGGCAGCAGTGATACCGATAATAGAGAATAGAGTCGTTGCTAGAATAAGTAATTCAAGAGAATCTATAGGTATTCAATGTAGGGAATTCCCTAACTTTTATTACTAGAGTTAGAGGGGAGGTATTCGATCTCACGTTCGGCAGTCCGAGCGTGGGATATTTAGTACGCGACTGGAGGGTATCGAAAGGGTCTTTATGTCGGACCATAAGATCATCCGATTTAGTTTGGGAGACTAATGGAGGAGAGGCTCTCCTTCAGAAACTCTAGGAAAGCTAATTGGGAGAAATATAGGAAGGACTTGAGCGGGACCCGGTCGTTGGGATGGTAAGACATCCCCTGGTGCTGGAAAGAGCTTTGGAAGAGGTTGGGAAGGCCATGGTCAAGTCATTTGAGTCGAACTGTCCCCTTAATAGGCCGTTGAGAGCAGGCAACGCGCTATGATGGGCCCGAAGGCTAGAGGACATGAGGGGCGAGGTTCGCAGGCTTTTCAATAAAGCCAAACGAGATGAGACCTGGGACAGGTATAGGGAAAAATTGACCACCTATAACAAGGAGATCCGCAGGGCCAAGCGTAGAAGCTCCAGATCCTTTTGTGAAGGCATAGCATAGCAAAGGACAACGTTCTAAGATCATTATATTTTCAAATATTATTTACTTCTCGGTTTGTGTTTCTAATAATAACGTAAAACGTATCATTTATTTCTTGGCTTGTGTTTCTAATTATAAAAAGTATAAAAGAAAAACGTGCTTTTGTTATACAAACAATTTTTTCAGAAAATCTTAAATAGAGTTGTTTCGGGGCTAAAAAGTTCAAATGTCAGATTTTTCTGGAACCCTAGTGACCTTTTAAGAGAAAGTGCCTTTTGTCCCATGTTGCTAGCCCTTCTAGAAGTACCCGTACTTTTTGACACCTGAGAAGTAACTATATATACTCGTATATATTATAATGTAAAATAGGATGGTTTTTAAGAATTATACGAAATATGAATAAAATATAGAATTATAAAGTTAAATTCAAGAAGGTTATGCTTGCCTGGATGTATTTTTCTTTTTTTTGGATTATTTTAAATTTTTTTTTTATTTTCTTTAAATTATAACATATAAATATTATTATAAAAGTTTAAAGAAAATTTCCAAAAACATATTGTTATAATATGTGCCTATATTTTTTTCAAAGCTTCCTAACTAATTTTTTATAAGCTTCCTATATGAATTGAATAATATTCAAAACTGTGGTTTGGCATATAGAAATACATATTTATTAAATCATGGGGGTAAAATACAGAAATAAATTTTTCAAATAAAGAAAAGGTTTAGGCATATATAAAATAATATTTTTATTCAAATATATGTATGTACATAACTGTATTAGAATTGAACATTTGTTCAAAAAATTAGAAATAAAATATTAAACACAAATATACATAATTATGCGGGTGAACATATAGAATTAAATTTTTCAAATAAAGAAAAGGTTTAGACAAAAATAAAATAATAATTGTATTCACATATATGAATGTACATATGAATGTAATTTTTCAAATAAAGAAAAGGTTAAGGCAAAAACAAAGTAATAATTTTATTCAAACATATGTATGTACATATTTATGTATTAAAATTTAGCATTTTGCAGTTTTTCTCTTGGAACAATAAAAATAAAATTTAAGTACATATGTACATAAATTCTGTATGTATATTTTTTTAAAGCTTGCTGACGAAACATAATGTTCAAAACAATAACAAATAAAGCATTAATATTCAGATGCCACAAAACATCTGATGTCTTTGGTAAAAGCTGACATTTATTTACGTTAAGATTAATTCGATTTTCCGAACCAAAAATATGAGAGATCATTATATTTTCAAATATTATTTATTTCTCGGTTTGTGTTATTATTTCTCTTAAATCTTATCGATATCATTTTCAATTTTCAACAAGTTGAGTTTTCTTTTTGTTTCTGTTCAGCATATCTTCAGGGCATTCTTTATCCTAAATGATAAATTTCCGTTTTTTAGTTTCCACTGTTATAAAATTCTTCAATTAGAAAAAATTTTGAAAATTCACTGAATAATTCAAGTTAAATAAGTGAAACTTTAATAAGAATTCAATTTTTAACTTTTTATATTGCATATGCAGAAATTAATAACTTTTTGTTTTTTTAATTGTTTTTATAGAACCGAGGAAAGACAAGACTGATGCACCTATTGGTGGTAATGGAACAATATCATCTAATAATGAACAATCATGCCAAGGGTCAATGTTACCATCTCCGGGTGGCGGAAGTGGAAATGCTCATAATCAAGATACTACAACATTATCTTCAAAAATTGAGCGTCCAAATTCATTAGGACCTAACAAAATTTCAAGACGTGTGACTTGTTATCATAACAATGAAAGATGTAAGCAATTCATGGTTATTAAAATGAATTTTGCATAATTTAAAGTAGTGTAGTTTGCTGATAAAAACATAATCTATTATATTTTGCTCAAAAAATATAATAGATTATGTTTTAAGTCAGTCTCAAATGAGACATCCATGTCCGATCATAGGCAGATTAGGTTTGATATCATGGTCTCCGGAGGCCTGGCAGAAGAAATTTATCGGGTGCCCCAATCCACAGATTGGAGTCAATTCGAAACGCTCCTCATGGATGGGATTAGATCCGTTCCTGCTTCTGTCAGAACGGTGATGGATATCGAACTGGCCAGCGAGGCCCTGACGGCGGCTATTACTAATGCCTATCACGGGAGCTGCCGTGCTAAGCCGAGGCGGAGCAATAGGAAGTGCCCGTGGTGGAATGAGGAGCTTTCAAGGCTTAGACTAAAGACCAGGAAGCTATTCAATAAGGCCAAAGCGTCAGGTTCGTGGGAAGAGTACAAGGACTCACTCACAAAATACAATAAGGAAATTAGGAAAGCGAAGAGAATCTCGTGGAGGGCGTTCTGCAAGGGCATTGATGAACTCCCCAGCAGTGCGCGTCTTCACAGGGTGCTTTCCAAAAAGTATGCTAGCAGGTTGGGCCTAATGGAACGTCCTGATGGCTCCATGGCTGAGAACGGAAGGCAGACGTTGGAGCTTATGGCGTCAACGCACTTTCCTGACTCGGAGATTCTTCGGAATCACTCAAATGCAGTCATCGAACCGGGGGCACCCTGGCCCAGGAGGGATGACTGGCAACGATCCCGTCTAGTCTTCACTATGGGCAGGATTAGATGGGCTGTTTTCTCTTTCAGGCCCTTCAAATCTCCAGGTGATGACGGGATATATCCTGCATTTTTGCAGAGGGGTTTCCAACATATCGCTAGAGCACTGTTGGGAATTTTTCGCGCCAGCTATGCGTGGGGTTACATCCCTCAGGCATGGAGGGTGGCTAAAGTGACGTATATTCCGAAGGTGGGTAAGCGACCAAGCAACCACCCAAGGTCTTTCCGTCCAATCAGCCTTACTTCTTTTCTATTGAAAGCAATGGAAAAAGTGATTGATAGATTTATACGGGACGGTGCACTGGGAAGCAATCCCTTGCATGAATCTCAATACGCCTATCAGTCGGGAAGGTCTACTGTACTCGCTCTGCAGAGTCTGGTCGGGGTCCTTGAAAACTCACTGGAGGTGCGGGAGGTAGCAGTTGGCTGCTTCCTTGATATAGAGGGAGCTTTTGACAACACCCCATATCATGTCATCTGTGAGTCGTTGCACAAACGAGGGATTGATGCGACGACTAGCAGATGGGTCAATCGGATGCTACAGGATAGGATTATTAAGTCCACCATAGCTGACGATATACTCTTCATCTCCGCTGCAAAAGGATGTCCGCAGGGCGGGGTTCTTTCGCCCCTCCTGTGGTCCATTGTAGTGGATGATCTAATAGCTGCTCTCAGGGGCTCCGGGGCGCGTGTCTGGGGATACGCTGACGATGTGGCCTTCGTCGTGCGGGGAAAATTTGAGAGCACTATTTCTGATCTTCTACAGCAAAATTTACGTGTTGTGGAAAGGTGGTGCAAAGGCGTTGAGTTAAATATAAATCCAAACAAGAGCACTTTGGTCGCCTTCACCAGACGCAGAAGCAGGGACAGGTTAACGAGCCCAATTCTGTTTGGTGAACGTATTAGTTACTCGAGGGAGGTGAAGTATCTGGGGGTAACCCTGGATGATCGTCTCTCTTGGAATACCCATATCGATAGAGTTATCGGGAGAGCTACGGCGGCCTTGTGGACGTGTAGGAGTTTCATCGGGGGGACCTGGGGAATTAGTCCCAGAATAGCACTGTGGCTATATACGGCCCTTGCTAGGCCCATCGTCACCTATGCGTCGATTGTATGGTGCCGTAAGGCTCAGCAGGCGGGTGTGCGGGCCAAGCTAGAAAAGCTACAGAGGCTGGCCTGCCTGGGAGTGACCGGGGCGATGCGGACGGCTCCCACCGCTGCATTGGAGGTGATGATCGGATTGCCGCCACTGCACCTCCATATATTGAAGGAAGCTCGGCTGGTGACTTACCGACTTCTCTCTGGCGAGGACGGGGCAGGGCTAAAGTTGGCCCACAGAACTCACAGAGACTTCATTGAGGGCGATCCGATTCTAAGGATAACCATGTCAGATACCTGTCTGCCGCGGTACAACTTCGACCACAAGTACAGGGTTCTGTTTCCTGATCGATGGACGTGGGATCGGGGTGGTCCGGTACTTAGGTCGGGTTCGAGCGTGTGGTATGCGGACGGGTCCAAAACGGAGTCGGGGGTGGGCTCGGGCGTATACGGTGTCCGCCCGGACACGCGTGTATATGCAACCCTTGACCCGTATTGCACAGTGTTCCAGGCCGAAATACATGCAATAGAAATCTGTCTGAGAATCAATTTGGAAAGGGGGTATAGAAACCGCACCATCTATGTGTTCTCAGACAGCAGGGCTGCACTGCTGGCGCTCCGTTCAGCTCAGGTTACATCCAAGCTGGTCTGGAGCTGCCTTGCTGCACTTATGGAATTGGCATCGGAAAACAGAGTGATGCTCATTTGGGTGCCGGGCCATAGTGGCCATGCGGGCAACGAAGTTGCCGATGAGTTGGCGCGGAGGGGATCTGGGGCTGCCTTTGTGCAGCCGCTGCCTTTCTGTGGTCTGCCTTCTTCCGCCGTGGGGGCCAGGCTTGCCTGCCTACTCGCGGCGGAATGCAGTCGTCACTGGCGGGACACGAAGGGGTGCCGTCATGCGAAGGTGTTTGTTCCGGCGTGCTCCGGCGGATTCGCTGCGGAGTTGCTGGGGATGAGCAGGAGCCGGGTTCGCACTATTGCGAATTTCTTCACGGGGCACTGCCCGGTGAAATACCACCTGCACAGGCTGGGGAAGTCGGGCTCCCCCCTGTGCAGATTTTGTGGGGGTGGCGATGAGACCGCCGTGCACATTCTCTGCGACTGTCCGGCACTGGCTGTTCGGCGCCGCAATTGTCTTGGACATGGGTCCCTAAGTGTTCGGGAACTATTGTCCAACTCCCTTAGGGATATCGCCGGCTTTGTGATTGGGACGGGGATATTATAGACGGGAGAGTGGGGTGGCTACAATAAGTCAAAAAAATGGCTGCGGTGGCTTGGGGGGATGCTCCTGTCCCACTCGGTTCCCTTAGAATCTACAATCTACAATCTACAATCTATATTTTGCTCATGTAAACTTGTATTCGACTGCTTTTGAACGTTCTTTTTAAATTATCAAAGCTAAAGTTTCTAAAAGTGTTCATTTTATCCGTAGAAAATCAAATAATCCAGTTTTTCCTTTTCATTTTTTTCGACACCAGTTCTTTCACTTTGCATGTGTTATGATTATTAAGAAGTCCAATGGACAAACTTCTTATAAAGTCGACTTTTATCAGCCCCAGCCGTGCTTTTGTTGATTTATGCCATGAGCATGTCGATACCAATTTTTTGAAAATTTAAGTAAAAGATAAAAGTCATGAGGGGGAAAAGCCGTTGATGGAAAAATTTTGTGTATAAGGAATATTTTCGTTCTTAATTGTTAACTAATGTGTGATACGTAAATTAAAAATATTAAACAAAATATTTCTTTAATTACATCTTGATACATATTTTATCTGGTATGTTAATTCGAAGTCGTTTTTAATCAAAATATAAAAAAATTTGATTCTTCCGAAAACGCAGTTCTAACTTTGTATTAGATTGCAATGTGTATGTTAAATAAGAACTGCCTTTTTTTTTTAGTTTACGTAAAAATTAATAAATATTTATAATTTTAGTAATTTACTAAACAAAAGATATTGGGACTCCATAATCAAAATGTTAATTCAAATAAGATGAGAAGATTAAAAGAGTTTCAGCGAAAAAAAGAAAAAAGGGGGTGTTGTGGCGCCTGCGAATCCGGAAAATTAAAAATATTGACTGGAACTTGCCTTTCACTGTAGATGAATGTAGTAAAAAACTTGTGTTAATGTTCAAGAAACATTACCTGGACTGTTTTACAAAATAAATAAAACTAAATAAGCTTAAAGTTATTTACTTTAATAATAAAGTTCAAGAAACTTTAATAATAGAGTTGTAAAAGGGTAAAAATCCTAAGAATACTGCCAGCAATATTGTGATACGTGATTATATCCCTTTTTAAAAAAATTTTTGAAACTTTTATCTCTATTTGCTTTATTGGGGTATTTAAGTTTATAATTATTAAGAAACCTTTTCCGATAATCGATTTTTTTAATTATGTATTTCAGCCAAATTCAAATAATGACAACTTCAATTTAGTACTAGAACTGCATTTTCAAAACTAATTTAACTAAAGATCTGCAAAAACTTTTTGTTAATACAAAACAAACGGCTAGTTTTTGCAGTTGTCAATCAATGCAAAAAAGTTTATTTAGTTTTAAGTTAGAAATGGGTACGCATGCTGCGTTTTCAAAAGAACATAATATGTACAAATAGCCATTGTCTAAATTTATTTCAAACTCGAATGAAACTGGATTCTCAACAATCCTGTTTTTCTTACTCACATTTTGAAAAAGGAAGTTCAAAAGTAGTCCAATATAGCTCTTTAAATTTACACGAGCAAGTCCATAACACATAATACTGTTAATCAATCAAACGCAAGGCCTCTAGTTAAAACAATAATATTGTACACGATATTTTTTAGTTCAAGAAAATATCTCGCACAATATAAAGTACATAGTCGAAAATAAGAATGAATGTAACAGAAGGAATGAAAGAATTATTGAAAAATAGTGTACTGTACATGTTTTTGGATATTCACGAACCACTTTATACAACACACTTTATCGAGTATAATGTGTGTTCATGCAGATGTTTTATTTGAGAATATTTATTTCGTTCACCTCTCTTTCGTTCTCTTTTGATTTTAATTTATTTGTGTTGTAATTGAATATGAATATACACAAAAAAGTTATTATTTGAATAGCTTTTTCGAATTGTTTTTTGCTTTTAATTTTTATTTTTTGTATTTGTGTATGCTATGAGTATACACAAATAAGTTATACATAAATAAGTTTTTGACTTGAAAAAATTTTTGTAAAATATAATGTAGATTTATTATAATTTTATATTAAAGATCCAGAAGGTGCTGGTCCACCAGGAAGTACACCACCTCCTCCCAGCGATGGGCAGCAACACTTTCTATTATCTGAGTTTCCAGAACCTCCAATTCCATTATCAGAAATCGGTCCTATTCCACCACCTCCTATGTTCTCAACGCCTAGTCCCACATTGATAGCGGGGCGTCCTCATGGACCTGGTGCTGTAAATGACGTAGATTATCAGGATTATGATTATGAAGGTATGAATTTATTATAAATTGTTTCAAATTATTTTATTGAATAATGTACTTAAAAGTTAATGTAGACGTAACTAATTTATCTTTGCGTATGGTATCCATTAACGTTTAGCAAGGTGACAAGTATTATGCTTAAGAGTGTAATTAGTGACATTATTAACCAACCACAATTCTGTTCCGGAACAACAAACTTTAAAAAACTAATGTCTAATACTATGTGTTCCAATATACTTCGATTGAGTTAAAATTTTTAAGTATATTCTTTTATTTGTCACATTTGTATTTTAATTTAAAAATTTCTCTTCGAATACTTTGAATGAAAAGTTCAAGAAGTAGCTTTAAATTTTTTTCAAAATCATTTAATAAAAAATTCTCTCTAAAATTCAGTTAATGGTATTTGGTAATTTTGATTCACCAAAGGTATTTCACTTACTTAAAGTAAAAACGAATAAATAAAAATTAGATACATAAGTAAATAAAAGCGGAATCAAAACATTAAAAAACTATTTCCTTCAAATAAATAATATCGAATACCGCATTTATTTAAACATATGATATAGCAATATATTAGTAACAATATAATCACAGACTGCGACATCGTAAACGTTGCAAAATTATTTAAACTTATTGATATAGAATATAAGTTCAGATATTGTTTTTGCTTAGACATTTTAAAAGCTTTCAAAATTTATATTAACTTTACTTTTGAATGTGTTAAAAAATATAAATTTTCTTTCCAAATCCAAATTGTATTTAAAAAAAATTTATACAATTTGTCCGAAACTCGATGGCATTCCGAAGCAGGGTGATGGAATGCGTCCAGGTGACAAAAACACCTACTGACATTTTCCTTTTCGAGTTATGAGGTCCCAAAGTTGCAATTTCTGAATACTCCATGTGTATATTAAAAATCGGGAAATTCGATAGGTAAATTTAAGTTAGTATGCTCATTTTAAAGCTCAATTTTTCTTCAATGGTACATTGAAGAAAAATACAATGGCACCAAAAAACTGCCAATGGTGTCAAAAACTTTTTCAGTTTCAGAAATATTTAAATGCCAAGTCAAAATTTTCTCTCTGTCACGACATTTTTAAACTTTTTTTGAATAGGCTTTTGTCAGTTAAAAATACCTGACAGAAATAAACTAAAAAAATTGTTTTGTCAGACACTCCTACCTAACAAAAAGCTATTCTCCCTGAGAAAGAGGTAAAATGGTACCTATAAATGTTTTTACTTTTTGTATCCTAAAAATAATAGCGGTGGCGGGAACCACTTTATCATTTTCTTTATGACCGTTGTCGACAGTGACGCCTCAGGCTTTTTAGACTGACGTGGTAGTGACATATTAATCGTCATTTACTCATAATTACTGGTTACTATACCATAATTTTTTATACGTATAAAGTGACTCTTCATTTTGACATAACATTACGTAGCAAATATTTCAGGAATAACATATTTCAGCTAAAAACCTGAAGTTAAAACTTTAAAAAGCAAAGTAAAACTAATAAGTGTTTTACGAAAAAAAAAATGTTGTAAGCTTTGTTACTCAGAAATTTACATTATTTACGTGTTAATTTTATACAAAGTCAAGGGTATTTGATTCACCCTCATTTCACTGCCAAATATTTCGAAAGAATTTTTGAATATCGTGTTTACACGCAAAAACTTAAAATCAAATTTAAAACAAGCAATTAGAATTGCTCTTCATAATGATCAAAAATTTAAAACAGGCCCGCTAAAAAGAGCAGTTCGCGAGGCCTGATATATCCCAAAAGTTGATCAATCCGTGCCATAGTCGGAAAATACTTACATATAAAATTTCATCAAAATCGGTTCTTATATTTATGCATAAAATATTTAAAAAAGGATAAGAATAATTATTGATTTTTTACCTAAATATTTTAAACAAAAGAAAAAATTAAAAAAAAAAAATTAATCGTTATAAGTTAACACTCCAACCCATTAAAGATTAAAATAAAAGATTAAAGTAAATTAAACAAAAATTTGAAAAAATTAGGATAGGATTGCAGTTTAATACGAGGATTAAAAATAAAGATAATTACAAATATTTTTATTCTATAAATTTCTTATTAGAAATAATAAATTTAAATTCAAATGGTTTGAGTTTAAATTTTAATGGACATTTTGTGGTTCAAAACTTATTACTAATTTACAAAACCCATTACATATTATTTTCTTTTAAATTTACGAATAGCAATAATTACGAATAGCCATGTAATTATAACCAAAAATCTTGCAATTATAATATACAGAAGAGAAATGAACGAAATGAACGATTGAACGAGATTTTATAATCGGACAGTAAAAAAAGGAGTTCGCTCAAAACGAATCACTGAAATGAACGATATTGCCCGTGACTAAAACAAACAGCTGATTAGGACATTTTTATTATAGTTTTGTAAGAATCTAGTTTTGTCCCATTTATAATTTGTGATACTTTATTTAATTTATTTACCTATACAGGTGTCTCATAAGAAAGTACACTGCTATATACCATTGTATAGTATAGGCCCTCATGAGTAGACAAAACTTTTGTATAAGGATGATGTTCACAGCTCAACAGGTTGGGAGTTGCAGGGACTTAAAGTTAATTACGACTGTTTTTTTTTACATTTTGAAATTTTAAGTATAACTCTGTGACTGTGTAAGACAGTCGCATTAACAAATATGACATGAAAACCTCAGGGAAATGGCTTTCTTATGAATATCTACATTAGTCATAATCTGTTGATTTCGCAATCACATGACTTTAAAGTTCGAAAAATTTGAAATTTTAACTTTTCATTTTTACTTAATTTTAATAAACGTTTTAATTTTTTAGGTGACGTAACATTGGAGCTTTCTCCAATTTTAGCACCTTGACAACTGAATAATTTGGGGTATGAGTTGTAGATTGTAGATTGCAAAAGGGGGGTGACAGTGCACCGCGACCAGAAAATATAGATCAATTGTGCTCCCAACTAGGTGCGGGACAAAAACCCTACGGCACCCCCTACAGCACCCCTTCGAGACGCACCCTCCTGATGAATTCGAGAAACTTTAAAGGGCGGGCAGACCGCAGCTTCGCTGGCGTGAGTACGAAGTTCCCCAGTACCTCCCTTCTCATGCTGGCTAGGGCCCCGCATTCCCTTAGAAGGTGCGCTGAGAACTCCTCATCCTGTCCGCAAATCCTGCATACATCTTCACTTCCCAGGCTAAGCCTTCTAAAGTGATAAGCCCGAGGCCAAAATTTTTGTCCTGGCGAAGTTCTGGAAAACACCTCCAGCGTTCCGAACGCCGGCCCTTCCATTTCCTTTCTTACTTCTCCTCGAATCGTATGTGGTCCGATTCCGCAGAAGGATTCTTGACCAAGAAGAGGTGTGCTTGCCCAACGTTTCCTTCTACGCCCACATGTCCAGGCACCCAGCACAGTGTGACCCAGTTGCACTCACTTAATTTGTAGAGCTTCTCAATACAGTCCCACACTACCTCAGAGGATACTGAGAAAGAGCCCAAAGCTCTGATGGCAGCCTGACTATTCGACATGATTAATATTTCTTGTCAGCGGTATCATCTGTCAAGGTTGAACTGCACACACATTTCAATGGCATGCACCTCCGCCTGAAAGACGCTAGGATACGTCCCCATGGGTTCGGAGAATTTCGGTTCTTGGCCGAACAAACCCGCACCCGTCCCTCACAGGTCTTTGATCCATCCGTTTACCACACGATGACATGTGACCCGATCGGATATTATCGATTTGGCAGCGAAGGCGGCCATTCTAAGGTTAGGGAAGAATGAGATGTGAGTGCTTGAAGAAGTAGATCGGAAACGTCAAGGCTCCACTCCCCGCATTTCCCAGAGATGACATGGTTAGAAGATATACCTTCGAGGAAAACTGCATCTCGTTGCTAAGCGACAGAAGGCCTCTTTGCACTATGTCGCAAAGAGCCTCCTCAAACTTCCCCCTTGCGATGATAACAATATCACCAGCGTATGCTTGGACGCCTATATTTCGGCGGCTAAGCTCCTCATGTAAGCCATCCACAACCGGACTCCACATCAGTGGAGAGAGGACTCCACCCTATGGACAGTTCCTAGCCGTGCAAGTGCTCACCGTACCCCGCTCGACTACAGTTTCTGCAACCCTTGCAGTGAGCATCCTGGACATCCAGAGCGACGTCGTGGTATCCACGCCCCTGCTCCCCAAGGCCCTCTTTATCGCCTCGTGCAAGGCGTTATCGAAGACTCCCTCAATGTCCAAAAACGCACGGAGCGCCAAATCATTTTGTTCTAGTGTCCGGTTTATGGTGCTCGTTAGCCGATACAGGGCGGTCTCCGTCGATTTACCCGCCTGATATGCATACTGACTGCCGCTAAGCGACTCCGCACCAACACAGTGGCCCTGATATGAGTATCAATAACCTTCTCTGTCGTCTTCGGTAAGAAAGACGTGAGACAAAATGGCCTGAATGACTTGGGCACCATATCTTTCCTTCCCACCTTAGGGATAAAGCCAACCGCCAGGATCCGGGGATGTGTCCAAGAGCCAAGCTACTCCTGAATATTCTTATCAAGAGGGCATCCACTCCTGGAGCCTTAAAAGGCTAGAAGGTGGAAGGTAGAAGCCCATCTCAGCCTCTGATGCGTAAAAATATCTGCCGCCCTTTTCTAACCCTCACGACATGTGGACCTACTTTCCCATTCATCCGATTTTGGCCAAAACTACCGCCAGGAAAAAGAAGAAGAGCCCTTTGCTGTTCATTCTCCGTGTAACTACGATCCGGCCTCCTCAGAGATGCCGGGATTACAGCGTTGTCTTTTGCCAATGCCCTATGTAGCCTAGCAGCAGCCGGCGTTTCGACTATGCCTTCACAAAAGGATCTTTGTTATAGGTGGTCAATTTTTCCTCGTTTGGCTTTATTTTACTTTATAAAAGCCTGCAAACCTTGCCCCTCATATCCTCTAGCCTTCGGGCTCACCATGATGCGTCGCCTGCCCTACCCGGCCTGCTACGGGGACAGTTCGACTCAAATGACTCGACCATGGCCTTTCCAGCCTCTTTCACAGCTCTTTCAGGACCAGGGGATGTCTTGCCATCCCAACGACCGGGTCCCGCGCAAGCCCGGTGCTCAGGTCCTCCCTATATTTCTCCCAATTAGCTTTCCTAGAGTTTCTGAAGGAGAGCCTCTCTTCCATTAGCCCCCCAAACTAAATCGGATGATCTTATGGTCCGACATAAACACCTCTTTCGATACCTCCAGTCGTGTACAAAGTAACCCACGCTCGGGTTGCCGAACGTGAGATCGAATACCTCCCCTCTAACTCTAGTAATAAAAGTTAGGGAGTTCCCTACACTGAATACCTATAGATTCTCTTTAATTATTTATTCTAGCAACGACTCATTTCTACTATCAGTATTCCCGCTGCCCCATACCTCGCCTCGTGATGTTTGTTTGCGTCAGATCCGATGATGAGTGGCCATTTCTTTTTATTGCAGTGCTCCACCAACTTTTGCACCTCTGGTGTTGGGGCAAATGCCCCGTTTCCCGGAAGGTATACCGATGCCAGTACCAAGTCCATTTCTTTGTCATATTATAATATGACGTCTGTGAAGCTATAATAATATTATATAGTAATAAGCTCAATAATTATATAGTAATAAACTTATATAGTAATATTTTAGTGGGGAACCCGCAGCTTCCAGGCCGCATGTGACCCCTAAGGGTTTTTGGGACTGAATTTAAAATAAAAAAAAAATTAATTTACACAGCAATAACTCTACAAAACCTATATATATAGATAATTAGCGATGTTAATGATATAAAATATCGTATATTTTCTTTGTATTTATAATTAGCATTTTATTTTAAAATTTTGAAACAAATTTGAATAAGTAACTTGTTTTCAACTTATACGTATATATTTTGTTTTAAATTTCTTGAAATATAGATAATGATGACGACAACGAAGAATTGGATTCAGATGAGGAATATATGTTTTCTATGTCGCAACCAAATCCAAATATCGACACTTGTCGCGTTGAAGAAATTCCAGCCAAAGAGCCGAAATTTAATGCAGTCCCATTAAAATCTGCTTTAAAAAAGAAGTCTGGACAACAACAAATTCAACAACATAACCAACAACAACAATCACAAAAACAGCATCATCAGTCACAGCAATTGCAGCAACAAAATCAACCGCAACAAATAAACTTACAACAACAACAGCCAACGCAACAAAATTCAAATGTAATATCGCCAGGAACACCGACGCAAGATAATAATTCAGCATCAAACAATCGTCCTTTAATGATGAGGCAGGACGGAAATAGTTATTCTTTTAAGTAAGTCATGTAATTTTCTATTTTAATTACACGCATACGCACATATGTATTACATATGTATGCATCTTATATCACTAACACATAAGAGCTCTTTTCTTAACAAACAACGTGAGATGCTTGTGAAATTTGGAATTGAATGGTACAACACATAGTCGTCAATTTAGTTATTTAGAACTTTAGTTTGAAACATTAAAGTGCTACATGATGTATGCTTTTTTTTGTTTTATTTTTACCGACCGCATTTTGTATACAATAGATAGGCTATGTAATGGGACCAAATTTTGCATATCGAGTTTCCGGTGTGAACGCACTTCTCCATGGTAGGGAAGTGAAAAAAAAAACATTTTTAGCAATCTGTCGGTCTCTCGATCTGTCTGTCTGTGTGTGTACGCGTGTATTTCAAACTTGGCTGAACCGATTTTGATGAAATTTTATATGTAAGTTTATTTCGACTATGGCACCTTTTGATTTTTCATTGATCACCTTTTGGGATGTACCAGGCCTCGGGAACTGCACTTTTTAGCGGGCCTGTTTTATAGTTTTGAGCATTTTGAAGAAAATATTTAAAAGATTTACTTGAAATTTCATATATTAACGACCGTCTGCGAAACCTCCTAACTTTTGGAAGGAATCAGGCATCAGTAACTGGAGGTTTACTACGGACCAAATATACATTTTTGCGTATATAAAGAGAAATAATCAACCGATTTCATTGAAATGTAATATTTAAATTCTTCGTACTAAAACAATGAACATATAATTTTTTTTGGAAAGATCAGGGCTCGAAAACTGATCTGCGGGCCGATTTTGCCTTCTTCACCATATCTACAGAACGAATTGATGGAATTTCTTGAAATTTGATATTTGAGTTCTGGTTGTTATTGAAACTAACTGGCTAGCATTTCAGGGAATTCAGGTAGCACAAAGTGAAACTCTACTATGAGCCAAATTTACATTTTTCTAGGTATGTTAACTATAAGCTTACTAATATCCTAAAAATTGGAAGGAAAATTGGAAGATTTAACAGACATTTTTATAATATTCCGTAATACTTTCACCTAACTAGACAACACATTACGATCGGTTAAGTGCTGGCCACATCAGATTTTTTTACATTATCTACGGATATCAGATTTTTTTTTGTGTTTTGGCGATATACGTATTTCGGTATTATTTTTGTCATATCGAGTTTTGTTTGAGAGGTATGTATACACCACAAGAATACAAAATAAAAATTAGATAGTAATTTAACATATGAATATAAAATAATATCGTGAATTTGATTATATTATTGTATATTAGTAACACCAACTGTAATATTGGTATATATTATTTAGATTTCCATTTTTAATATACCAAATATTTCAATATACCAATAATTTAATATACAAGTCCCAAAAAATGTAATCTAAGGGCGGTGATAAGCTCCTAATCAATTTACGAATGGTGTTAGTATATGAGTAATTTGGGTAATTGAAAATTTTTCCAACAAAATTCAAAAAGAATATGTTAATTATTTCAGTCACACTGTCTGTCTATTCATGCGACTGCAAAATCCCTTCATCTTTTAATATAGAAAGTTTTATTTAAACGTATACAAATAGACCTCTGTGAGAGACGTATTTCTCTAGAAGAATTTTCTTGCCTACGCTTCTTCCTATTTAAACGTTTTAATGTCAAATTGCACTTTTTATATGAAAATGGTACTTATTTCTACATAAGACCAGTGCTCGAAGTGAGGCGGGATGGAGTGGGATGCCATCCCAGTACTTTTAAATAATTGGAAATCCATCCCACCACTTAATAGGAGAGAAAAATGCGGTCCGGAACATGTTTTTTTAAATTCAAGAAAATTTTCTAATGAATTTTAAAAATTTTTTTAACAAAAAATTAAATATAATATGTAATTTTAAATAAGACCAATTTCAAATAGTAACGTATAATTTTTTTCTATTAATGAAATTTTCGTTACTACATAGTAGTCTATGCATTTCTTTGGTAACAATTTGCAGTTTTTGATTCAATTTTTAGTTGATATAATTTTGAATATAAATATTCTCGTTAGTTTACTTCCAAAGTTTGGTAAATTTTGTTTAGTTATTTTTTTAAAAAATAACTAAAATAATACTTTTTTTTTTTATTTCTTTTTTTACCATCCCACCACTTTGAGTATCCCACTTCGACCACTGCATAAGACAAATAATATGAAACAGCAACTTGCTTTTTCTGTAGTAAAATTCAAAAAAAAATCAAAGTTTTAAGTACTGAGATGGCCTTTAAATATTAATCGTTATTCCTGAAACATTTTCTTTAAATTTCTTTCATTATTTTTCCCTTGACTGTAGGTTGTAAGCAGGAAAATTGAACGCTTTGTAAGCTTCAGTAAACAGTTTATTTTGTTAAAATAAAATTGTTTCTTGTTGTTTTCCCCTCCTGAATTATCTCTATGAATTAGTGAATTTTCAACACTTGATTTTTTCGAAACCATTAGTTTTAAAAATTGTCTTTTTAAGCGGGAAAGTAAAGGTTATGTTTTGCTATCAAAAAATGAATAGAATATATTTTAAGTTATTCTATATAATTGGATTATCATAAAGTATTTGTATGTATATGAAGCATTATTAGTATTTTAAATATATTAGCTAACAACTAACAGACACTTTATTATTTTTATTACCAAAAACTATGAGTTTTTATTTTTTGAAAGAATAATAGTATTGAAAAAAATTTTGAAATATAATTAATAAAAAATCTGATGTTATCAGTATGTTATAATGTATATTGCCTAGTTTAGTGAAAATTTTACAGATGAAAATACATTTTGAACACTTCCTTTAAATTTTTAGGAAGTTAGCAAGGTTTTAGATAACGCCACTATAAAAGTGTAAATTTATAGCAGTTAATTTCGGTAACAACTGGAACTCAAATATCAAATTTCAAGAAATTCCATCAATCCATTCCGTAGATATAGTAAAAAATGTAAAATCTGCTCTCAATTTGCTTTCTGAGCCTTGATCTTTCCCAAAAATTTACAGATTAATTGGTTTAACATCCCGAAGTTAAATATTAAATTTCAAGAAATTGGTTGCTTATTTCTCTTTACATACGCGGAAATGTCCATAGTCCGAGGTCTGATATATCCAAAAGTTGATCAATATTTTGGCTATAGCCAAAATAAACTCACTTCAATTTCATCCAAAATGGTTCAGCCGAACTTGAGGTATACGCATGCTCACAAAGACTGACAGACCCTCATCTCTGTCATTCCAAATTTGGTGCCATCAACATCCAAAATTTGGTGCCATCATATAACCTGTCTCATTGTATACGGTTATGTACATGCGATAGATTAACGTGCCACTTTACTATTGTTAGATTAACATTAACATTTGTTTTAAAGAAAAATGTTCTTCTGGTATACTTTCAATAAAAATAAAATAAGATCTATATCTAGATCTAAAAATAAGTGACCCCTTTACTATTTTTCATAGATACATAAAAAGCAGGTGAAATATGAGTTAAATAAAGATTAAACGCCTTTAATATAAACCAAAATGAGATTTTCTGTATTATATTATTAATTTACAAACATTCAAAATGGCATAATTATTTTTCCATTCGTTTCTGGAATTTTCTTTGAAATCTGCGAAAAAAATTCGTAGATTACAAAGAAATGGACTCGGAACTCATGGTCTCCATTATCAGAATTTTTCTGCCTCTTCTCATTGAGCCTTATAAAATGCTCTTAGTTTTAGGACTGTAATTCCTTTTGAAGGTGCACTGTTTTGGAACGAAACTATAATGTGTTCTTCCATAAACTTATCACAGGAGTTTTGTGAGGTTTGCGGATAAAGAAATATACATATACGTATAACGCTTGACCAAAAAATTTAACTTAGTTTTTCGTGGAAAAAGTCTTAAGATAAGATCAGGTACTTTTTCATAGGTGATCTATAAGAGGTGTCTTATAGATGTACTTATTTTGTTATCATTTCATATTAAGAAATTTAATTTTTTATGATGGCTTTGAATTTGTCTAGACTTACGGATTTTTTAAATTATTTTTAAATTAAGCTCGATATTCAAGTTAGTATTAATTTGTCTATAGAAAAGTGATATTTTGTATAAACTTAATTCAAGAATTTTTTCAAGCAAAATTTATTCAAAGAAATTATTAAGTATCTTGTTTTTAACACAAGGGTTGAGTGGGCAAGGGAAGGAACCTAAATTTGGCTTGTCTAATTGTTTCATGAATTTGTTGTTAAGAACAGTTTAGATATCTAATTGATAAAAATTAAAGAATTTTCGTGAAATATGAGAAAGAGGGTTTGAAATAAAAGATATGAAGTATAGTTATGTAGAAAAAGGTGTGAAATAAGGCAATTTGTTGTATAGAAAAAGTATTGAAAAACGTCACAAATTTTGTTTTCGGAGCTTTTTTTATCGAAAGATGCTGCCTTAAGGAGCGCAAGGAGGCAACAGGATTCATAGAGCTATAAAACAAGAAGTATCAATGTCAGTGCAATTCTCTGAAAAACACACAAATGGTACTGCGGCACCAAGAATGCCGTAATCAATACTATCATGAATGCCTACGCTACATATAGTGCAAAAAATTACTCCGAGATATATCTTGGGTCATGAGCCATATGAGGACATTAGATGAACTATTAATAGAAGAATTGAACTGCTTAAAACTGGCTAGAAAACTTTCTTGTAATAATGAAGCATTACAAAAGATGGCTGGAATGCAAAACGTGTCGCTTTAAGTCGTGAGATTTTCGACTGCTTCCAGATAACTGGAAAGGTTCCTTGTAAAAGTGAAGTATTATAAGAGATAACCACTACCAGTTTAATAAAACCATCATGAGTTTAACCCGTACGAACGTTTTTTCGAAGGGTTCGAAGGCTATTAAATATAAAATATTATTACTTAAATATACTTATTACCTGTAATATTTTTACATAATATAGATAAAAAAGAAATAAAATCCAATGTTCATAACTATATACTTACATTTTAGTTTTGCATTTTAGTGACCACCGCTTACCTGGAGGAAGAATTTATTTCAAATTCGCGTTATGTTTTTGCTTTAAAATTAACAAGTCATCTTTTCTTATAGAACTTCACAAAATTTTTAAAATTTTTCTATTGAACATAAAAATATTCGTTATACAGTTTCGAAGCTATAAAGAATTTATTTTATGAAATATCAGTTCTTTTTCGAAAATTATTATTATTAATATATTATTTGCTTTATTCACTTGTGTAGCTTTATTGCTTACCTTGAACTATGTAAAATTACTACATATGTGTACTTATCTGTCATGGAAAAAGATGACTTTCCAATCTTTAATATTACCTTTGAGGTTCTTCTTGATAATTTCATTGGTTTAGGAAAAATAGATTTTTAACAATTTCATAAATTTTTGAAGGTCCTTATGGATTTTCAAGGACATTTTTGCCAAAAATGGTAGAATGAAAGTTTCCTGTCACATCATTGGACATGACGTTACAAAATGTGAATCTGGAATCATCTTTTTGCTACGATTCCCACTTTTTTTCTTTATAATTTTTTCCCTAATTCAACTGATGCATTAATATTCGTAATGTAGAGCAAACTGCTTGAAGCAATTAAATGTGTTAATGAAAATTAAAATATTTAAAAACAAATAAACAACATTATAGTTATGTACTTTTAGATGGAAGTAAATAGACCCCGAAAATGATGACAGTAATCGAAAAAATTTCAAAAACTAAAAAAATACAAATTTCTTTTTATATTTTATATTTATTACGTTTTTTTTAATATTTATTTGAAAATTTAGGCCGATTCTAAGACCAAGGATTAGAATATGGTAATTATGAACAACTTTATTACTTTACTACAAAATTATATTTAACATAATTTGTTGCATCATTATTATCTTGTATGTATTGTATAAATGCACGAGCTAATTGAAAACTATTTTTTATTAGTAACTTTCCATTTTTGATGTGCTAATTAAAAGTGTAAATATTTTAAAATGTTTTCAAATGTATCAAAATATAGATTCCACGTTCAACTAAATGAATTTTAAAGATTTGCTTGAGTTAAAGAAAATGGTTTTTATCAGTTATTGTTCTTTATAGTTTCGAAATAATTGCTCCTTACAGTTACGAACGCACTGATTTATAAATTACTTTATAATTTATTAGATTAAAATCAGAAGTACTGAAAAATTTGGGCGACACTTCTGGCGCGTGAAATGATGGAGTTTTTTTATAGAAATTGAGTGTAAACTCTGTAGTTGGATAGAGTCAACAAGATCTTGTTTTTATTCATAGAGTCAACCAGATCCTGCTTTTAATGTTTTTCATATTTCATTTATGATTTCTGCCTTGGCCAGCAATCGATATGGCTTTTCTTTGCCTTTTGAGTGTGTTGAAAAAGGGCTTTAACTATGTTTTCTATAATATTTTCTGGTATTTGATTGTATGTTGTTGACCAATGGCCGTTGATTTCTTTGCTTATATGACATCAATTTTTTTATTGCAAGCATCTGCAATTATTTTTATTGCTGATTTCGCCAAGCATTTATTTGTCCTGTTTCCTCTGACTTTTCAGGGAACGTACCATCGTATGAAAATATCATTTCAGGATTTTTAATTTTAATATATTTCATTTAACGTTATGTGACAGAATTTTTATGCTATTTCTTCCAAATATTTGTTCGCTTAGCTTCGTCTGACTTGTCCACATGGCTTTGTCATATATCTGTTCTGTAGTTTAATGATAAAACTTTTACATTTATGTCGCATGGTCTCTATGTCGCAGTTTAACTAAGGTTTTGCTGCTGAGAACATTCTATTCAATAATAATGGCTAGTGGCCTTTCCATTCTAACATTATTTTTCTTGCTTTGACTTCATGAAACAAGATGAATTTCCATTCATGGTCACAATTTACTTATAGCCCTTTTTGAAATTGCATTTACTATTAGGTATGTATGTATTTTCAACTTTATTAATTAAGCCAAAAATTGACTTGTTTCTGTTTAAATTTTTAGTTATAATTCTAGTTTTTACTTAAACATATTAATTCTTTCTTCTTTCTGCTCACTAAATATATCTTTATTAATTTTTGAACTGAATATTCACAATAATTAATATGCATGTTGACTGCTTTTTATGCATAATGAAATTGTGATACATTTAGAAAGTCTTTATCTGTAGAAAATTGCACAAAGTGAATTTCGTCATTCATATGTATTTATTTTTGTAAACTATTTCAAGCTTTACGAGTATTGATCTGATTAAGTAAAATTTGACATTTATGTATTTCATTTAATTTTTTTATCACAATTTTTTTTGTATATCTATTTTTGATAATAACAAGATTTATTAATCATTTTCAAGAAGAATATCTGTAGTATCAAAGAAATATATTTTATGTAAATATATGTCAATTTACAAAATTTTTAGGAGGATCAATATTTTATCAGATGCAATATATTTTCATAGAGAATATGTGGGAAAGAAATTATTGTTCTTGACCGATTTAACTTGTAGTTTTTGTCGCCATTTTTAATAAAAAAACCCAGTGATGTACAATAATATGAGAAATATATGTATGAGCGTCAAGATATTAAATCAAAATAAATTTTGGTGAACCAAGATTTTTTTTTGTTTTGGAGTTGCATCACTAATAATTTCTGGGTAGTGTTTATGTAGCGTTCATGTATTTGTATTATAAAAATGCTTAACTTTTTTTAGTTAATGCTTCTTCCTATTATTCTTTGTTTTTATTTAATAACAAATAATAAATTATTTTTTTTTTTGTGCCACACTTTGATTTTTTTTCATTCCAAAGCATTAGTCTTTTGTGAAAGTGCAAAATTAAAAAAAAGTAACTGGTAAATTACTTTAAAAATATTAATAATAAATATAAAGCTATAAATTAAAACTGTTTTTTTAAATGTAATATAAAATATAATATTAATATAAAATATAAAATTATATATAATAGTTTACATGTATATATAAACTATTTATTTTTGACGGTTTTCTAATTATTATTATACAGGGTGTTTCTCATAAAGTAGCAAATATTTTCAGAGATGATTCTTTGATAAATTTCCAGCAAAAAATTCTATGTATATGTATACATACATTGATGAACAAAATTTAAAATCAAACCCATCTTATCTTATATAACAATTTTGTTATATGACTATCGATATGAAAAAGAGGGAAACTCTTCAAAAAAAAGAAAATGGTCATCATAGTATAAAAGTTAATTTCCCGAATATTAGTTTACTTTTAGGGTGTGTTTAGCCTTAAAAGTAAACTAATACACGGATTGAATTTGTTTCTTGTAAAAAAATTAGCGGTTATAATTTGTTTAAGCGAATGGTTGTGTTTACGTCTAAAATTTTTCATTTGGTGGCGTAACTGAAGTTGAAATAACGAGAAAAAATAAAACAAAAATTCTGATGTGATCTGCACATAACCAGCCGCAATTTATATTATCTAGATTAGTAAAAGTATTCCACGTACCTTGGAATGAAACTTAAAATGCGGTAAAAAGAAAATAATTCGACATTTTCTAAAATTAGAATGATTGGCATTCCGAAAGTACATTCAATTCACAAATTTGGATAAAATAATAAAACATTATTTGATTGATTTGAATTTACATACATTATTATAATTAAATAAAAAAAATTAATACTAAAAAGAGATACGCGAAATGACAGGCCATAAAATGCTGTTAAAATATCTGGAAAACAAAAAATAAAAAAAAAAATCATGCAGCGTTGGAAAAATAAATAAGGACAGGAATAAAAGCGGGTGTTTTGTGAAGAACTTTTAAGAACGAAAGGAGAAGATTTTTAGAAAGAACATCTCCAGATTCAGACAGTCGTTTAGGATATTGCACTATCGTAGTGTTAATCGTAATACTTTAAAAGCAATGTATGTCTAACTATTCAAGTCAGTGTACTTATTTTTTTTTGTTGAAAGAGACATAAACATTTACCTCTTCAACTAGCCCTTCTATTCTGAAATTGCCGACGAAATTTTCTCTACATTGTAATAAGCACATTACTTATTAATTTCACAACTATGTTGTTGTATTAGTAAAATTTAATTTATATTTTTTTTATATAAATTATAAAACAGTTATAAATTATAAACAACAAACTATATAGCAAAAATTAAAGACATATAGTTAACTATCAAATACACATTTTTGGAACTCTTAAAAACTTTTGCCGGAATATCCTACCTCAACTTAAACTGTATCTGAAAATTAAAAAACAACTTTATTAAGAATATTTATTTAATATGTATTTTTGCAATTTGAAACGTATAACATTGTAGAAAGCTTCCGATATAGAATAGGGAAATTGAAAGTTTACAGGGAAAAGTTTTTTTTTATTATGTTATGAAACTTAAGGATTCTTTATACAAGTAAAAGGTACGTAATTCTACTTAATTTCAACCATCACAATTAATATAAAACTTTATATGAAATTCTTTAGGAAGGGTTTATAATTTTTTGGATTTATTTGAACGATTATATTGAAAAGGCGAACATTGCATATACAATAAAACTGGTTAGAAAAAAATACTTAAAATTTTTATAAGAATAACTGAGTGTTGTGCTATTTGTTTTTCATTTTTTATCAAACAGTGAATGTACTTATGTTTGCTTTGTTAAATATTTCAAATTATTCTATACTTAAAATCTAGAGAGTTGTGAATTTATGAGTTTTCTGTATATTATTATGACTATTTATTTTTAAGAAATTGATATCATATTTTATAATTTTAATTGCATGTTTTTTTATTATGATTGACATACATATATAAAATGTACATCGTATTTATGTCATCAATCACACTTTTGTTCGCGTGAAATAGCAGGACAACTATGTTTAATACATAAATACATTGAAAATTTTGTTTAATCACTTTTTTTAATTTTTACAGCCGACCAGTACGTTTCGGTGTTGGCTTACCTTGTTCTATGGAAAATAAAGAAAATGCAAGACCTTATGTGATACGAGAAGACAATGATAGTGATCAAAGTGATGGTCCTATATTATATAGAGATGATGACAATGAAAGAGAAAAAAAAATAGCCAGAAAAGAAAGTTTATCATTAAAACTGCAACTACGTCCTGATAAACAGGATTTAATTAATAGAAATATTTTGCATCAACAATCTGATAATGAAATGAAGGAATCAAAAGAAACAATAGGAGCAAAATTAAGCCGAAGATTATCGATGCGACCAACAGCTGAAGAGTTAGTTGAAAGAAACATATTAAAGAGTAAGAACATTTTTATATTATATTTTAATTTTAATATATATTAATTATATATAATTTAATTATGTTCAAATAATATATACATATTTTCTTATATATTATTTGAATTTCTTTAACCCATATGAAAGAATGAAAAAACTATTATATAAATACGAAATTAAGATAGAAAAATGAAGAGTATGTTCAAAGTACTTAGCTTTGGAGTTTTTTCTTCCACAATGTTAAAGATAAATTTTACTGAAACCGGTTTCGAGGTATTTTTAAATCATTACTTTTAGTTAAAACACTTTATTGAGCAAATCATAATATTTTGATTTAATTTTTGTAGAAACGCCTTTTGTATTAATTTCTTAAGTTTCATATACTTATAAATACTCGTACAAGATAGAACTTGAAATTTTTCTAACCTGTCAACGGTTGGCTGTAGATCTTAGAGCTACTGGTTCTAATATTAAAAAGGACCAAATATGAACAATATTTTCATTTAGTAGGTGCATCAATAAATTGATAAACAAAATCATGGGACAATCATGCTTTGTGCGCTTAAAATTTGAATAGAATTCTTTTAGTAAAGGAATCCCTTTTGTTTTCAAAATTAATTTTTAGGGTATGCTTAGATTACAGAGTACACGGAAATGCTCCGTATTGTACAAGAAATCATATTGTCTTTATGCTAATTGATTTTATGTGCAATTGATTTAGTTGAGCGTTTTCATATTAGGTTTCATATTATTATTTTGTAGGTTTAAACCCGGTTCGAAGTATTAGAACTAGATGGTTAATGGATGAAGATTGGATTTTTACACGTAAGAGAAAATATAAGAAGCTGTTTTAAATTTGTTTTTACAAAATAACAACTAATTCAAGTTTGATTTGATTTAAAATTACCTTGAGTTAAATAATTCAATTAGATTAACACAAAAAACAAACAGAATTCAGTTAGTTTGACTTTCTTGCTTTAATATAACGTTATATTAATTTTAAAAACGATTTTTATCCTCGACGTATAAAATTGTGTTGTTCTTCATTTTTAACAATTTCTCCATATATTTTTTTAAATTTATTTTATAATTTATTTCATTAGTTTGATAAGAAAATCTTAAAGCTAAGAAACCTTTTACTTTGTTGCTCTTATTATTTTATTTGTCATGTTTTCTTTGTTTTGTTTCAACATTGAAGAAAAATTTTGTTGTAAAATGGGTATTATTTGTTTGGTTTTACTAATATTTTGCTCTTTATTCATTTTAAATTAGCAAATGGAACAAAAATTATTCTACTAAAAATTAGTTCAATTATTTATTTCACGGTATTATAGATTCTTTCAAATAAATGAGGGGAACCTAATAGCTTAATTTTTAGTGATATACAGGGTGTCCCGGACTCAATGGTATTCCCGAAGCAGGGTGGTAGAATACAGGCAGAGGAACAAGAATCGCCTACTGATATTTTTCTTTCTGGGCCCTTGTTCTCGAGTTATGGGGCCTCAAAGTTAGAACATGCAAAAACCGTCTTATTTTCACATATATATTTTCTCATATATTCTTCTTCATATTCTAAATTGCAAATGGTGTTAAAAACTTGCACTGTTTTTGTGGAATATTAATAACATTTTACAAATAATTTTATACTATATACTCAAATTTCAAAAAGTAGTTTAACTGCTATCATAATTAATTTTTGAAGTAACTATATATACATCAATTTGATTACACTTCAAGAATTTTTGTTTTTGCTGTATTTTCGTTATTTATCCACAAAAAACAGAGTTAATTTCCCTGGCGATTTTTGTAAACCTATTTGATTTCAAATTGAAAAATAAAAAATTTTTTGAGAGAATTTGTTTCAAGTTGCTGTAACTTGGATTTGTTTCAAGTTGCTGTAAAATGTTGATAAAAGAAGCAGTCGGTAAATATTTCATCAGTAACAGCATTTTCTTTGACATAAAACATCAAAAAGAAAAATAGGGACAAAAAATTTAAGGACGTTATATAAATATTCAGAAAAATATTCGCTTTACAAAACATGTTTTAATAGCTTGATGTATTAGTGCAAAAAAAGAGAGGAAAAAATAGTGAAATCCAAAAAAACCGATTTTTGTTTAATTTTTTAGTTTTCAATTATTTGAATGCAAAATGTATTCTGAAATATAATAGTTATTTAAAAAAGCAAAATATGCAGGAAAGGTTTTGTTTTTATCGCTACAAAAAAAATTTTAATATATTATCATAAAATCTAAGGGCTCTATCAACGCCATATATATCTATCAGGCCATCAAGATCAGAGAGCAAATCAAAAATAAATTTACATTGAGTTTAAATGGAAGCGGTGTCGGAATATATTTGTGTGAAGGAAATTGATCAATATTCTTGATTCTACTGATTCTACATATTTTTTTAAATTTAAAATTTAAATTTCAAAAAAATCGGGTGGTAAATTCCATCTGAAAAATGCATTAAAAAAAAAATGCAATTTTTAGCGCAGGCAACCTTTCTCGTCTTCCAAATAGAAGGGTACTGAATTACAGAGTAAAATTTTTGAATAAGGAATAGAATTTAAAAATAAATTGAAAAAAAGCAAAAAAATTCTTATTATAATGTAGATGGCTTTTAAAACTATACTAAATAAAATGAGAATCATAAAGAATACTCAAAAATTTCACAAAAAAAATAAAAAAAATATTTAAAATAATTTTCGGAGACGTCTTGAAAAGACGATCCATATAAATGTCACTTATAACCCACACATAATAAAAAAATTAATTATTTTATAAAACAAAATAACAATTTTTTTTTTGAAATTTTCTTAGAAATGAAAATATTTGAGACTACGTTTTTGTGTAGGAAATTTGCACTTTTTTTTACATATATGCATGTCTATGATGGTTGAAGTAGTGCAAAGTTTTGCTCTGATACATCAATCCATCCCTTCAGGACATTTTTTATTAAGATGTAAAGACTTCAGGGATTTTAAAGTGCAATTTTATGTTAAAAAACTCAGTAATATGCTGTTGATACGGGTTAGATATAAATTTTGACGTTAGAAATAATAATAAAATAAATACATAATATGTATTTTTCTTTTTAAATTATACAACGATAATTGATATTGCATATCTACTTTTGAACCGAGCTCAGCGCATAATTTTTGTGTAGCATATAAAATAATTTCCTAACTTTTATTTTAACAGCGACTACTCCCGCCGAAGAACGAAAACAGAAAGAAGAAAAGAAAAGATATCTCCTTAGGAAACTCAGTTTTCGCCCTACCGTTGATGAATTAAAAGAAAAGAAAATAATACGTTTTAATGATTATATTGAAGTAACACAGGCACACGACTATGACCGGCGAGCTGATAAACCATGGACAAGACTGACACCAAAAGATAAGGCAGCTATACGAAAAGAATTGAATGAATTCAAAAGTTCGGAAATGGCTGTACATGAAGGTAGTCGTCATTTAACGAGGTGAGTTGATAAATGAAATTTTTAAATAAAATAGGTATTCTTTGATTGTTATTCGTATATTATAAACCTTATTATCTTTTTAATATATTTTCATTAATAAAAAAGTTTTAACCTTAAACTTCTTATGCGATATTTTATGTACATTTGTCATAGTCTTCTAAATTTGGAAGAATCATACTATTTTCTAAAAATTTTAACTGAAAAACATAACTAATTAATTTCAAATATATTTAATTCAAGGTTCCACAGGCCATGACAGTTGCAATGGTGTTTTAAAGAAATCAATAAGATAAAGATTACTTGGGGCAATACAGAGCTAGAAGACATTAAAACTACAATCATTACAGAAGTTAATGTAGAACAATTGATTTTCGATTCAACGTATATCTTCTGATATTAAACTAAACTTAATATTTAATTTTTTTTACTAATTTAAATTAAAATTGGTTAAAATAAAAAAACAAGTTAATTTCCAAAAAACAAAAAACCAATTATTATAATAGAACTTTAAAATATAAATTTTGTTATTTTTTGTCCATTTTAGTTTTACCTAATTTGTGAAAATACAAGTAATTGTCTCAATTACTACACAGTTAAGAATTATTATTATTGTTAATGATAAAAAACTGACATTAAACTATTCATCGAAACTTAAAAAAAGAAAAATTAAAGCAAACATTTATTTATAATAAAAGTTACAAGTATTATTTTTTATGTATTGGTTATAAAAGCTTTAAATAAAGATAAATATTAGTTTAAACTTAACATAATTTATATTTATTTTTAAAGAATTGAAACTTTTGTTTAGTATCTTTTTTCACTTAAGAATACTTCATTAATTTTGTAATTTATAACATAAATTTTAAAGGATACAAAATATTTTTTAAGAAAAATTGTAGTAACAAGTTGAAAAACTTATTTAAAATTTGATATCTTTTAATAAACCATTAATTAATTCCAAAATCGGTATGAGTTTGTTAAATTGAATAATTTATGTTTTTTTATTTCATATATTTTAAGATAACTTTAATATGACGTTCTATTACATCTTTAAATGGATGGATTGATTCATTTTTATTAGGGGACTAGTTCCAAAATATCTATATTATAATTTGTTATTATACATTATATAACGAGCCTCATTCTAGTTGTCGAAGTAGAGCGACAATTGTCGTTACGACTTGAATTTGATATTCTAAGCCGCGATCGCAGTGACAATCGTCGGGGAATAGCGGGAAAATGTGTTTCAGCCATGTTCCAGTTGTCGTTTTGATGCGGGATATGTCGTAATAAAACGACGTTTTTTGTCGAAAAGTATTTACAAGTGACAAGAAAGTAAGATTCACCAAAAATGCAAGTTAAAACAAAACAATTTAACAAAATCATAAAAAAATTAAATTTATACATATCAAGTCATAAAATATATAATTGAATTTTTGTTTTTACCGTGAAAGTATTTATAAATTTGAAGAATTGGAAATTTCATGACAGTGCACGCCTTTTACGGGTACTCGTTTTTTCCTCGAATATATTCAGTAAATATACAAAGGCCTCCTTTAGAAGTCTGTAATAGTTTATAAATCTGTGAATAAAATAAAATGTTTGCAACTAATTTACTAGAAAAAATTTGGCAAATCCAATGGAATAGAGCCGTCGCTAATCTTAAATCTTTCGATCCTCAATTGTTGTTTTTTTTTTAATTTCATCTCTACCGGAATGAGATGAATTCGTAAACTATAATGCAAATTACATTTTTTATTATTTAAAAATATAAATATATATACTGAAAATTTTTTTTAGTTTGAACTTTACTCGCCGAAATTTCTTTTTAAAATGTATCAATTTCATTTTAAACGTTTCATTTTCGATTATTTCTCGCAGAATACCACATTTCAAATGATGTGACAGCGACAACGACAAACGTCACGTAAGTGGCGCGACAACTAGAATAAGGCTCAACATTAGAAAGTTTCTTCGTCGCCAAACTAATATTTAAAATTTAAATATTTAGTTTACCTTTCAAGATTTTTAATATTTTCTTTGTGAATTTAAATTAATGTGGTCCTAATTTGATACTGTTATCAAATTCTATATTAATATAAGTTTTATATTTTTATCAAACTAATAAAAGTGTGTTTGTGAAAGAAGACCGTGACTTCAATAATGCTTTATAAAAAGTTTAAGTACCATATTAATACGATTGTATTACCGTTTCAGAGATTTCACTATCTTTACATTGCACAAAAAACTGCCATAGCTTTTGATACATTTTGCAATACAATTTTTACAATATTAATACGTAATTTGGAGTTTGCTTGAAAATTTCAATTTAAAGCTCTGTGCAAATGTTAATTTTTAACAAGCGTTACCACTTCATTAAAAACATATCATTTTTATGCTGCATTTTGGGAAAACACTTAATAACTAGCATTTTATTGCTGAAAATATATGCTACTTTATTTAGTTGGTTATTTCTGGCAATATTTATATGATATGTATAGGAAAAGCTTGCTCGATTTTTTTGATACCCAATTTACTTTTATTTTACGTACCCACTACGTATAGAGCGCATTTAGGAAAAATGTACAATGTCAACAGCTTTTACTAAACTTTTTGGAATGTGATACTTTGTAAAGTTTAAGTATTAAGCGCATTATTGAAGTCACGGAGATTGATAATAAAATACAGCAGTCTCTCTTATAACGTAGTCTTTTACTATATAATTTTGATATATGATTTGGATTTTATTTTTCTCATATATTTTCATTTAATCTTATATTTATCTCGTTTAATGTTTTTTTGTGGAAAAAAAAGTCTGTTACTGTAAAAACCTCACAAAAATCTTTAAACGTGTGATAATGTCCTTTCTTTCACATGTAAACTCCTCTCTAAGTAGATACTTTTAGTAAACTGTAATTTAAGCAAACATGAAGCATTAGTCTTTTTGAACCTCCTATAATGTAATTTCACTTAAACTAGAAATTTTCGGTCCTAAAAATTACTCTAATTTGTGTTACAATCTATCTTATGGATAATCTATATATATTATATTTTTCAAAATTTTCTCCTGTTCTTTCTGTCCTTTTTTGTGTATTTTTTGTGTAAACAGAAATACAAAAAAAAAAAAGCCAAAATATTAAAAGCAAAAAAGAATAGAAAAAAAAAATCGGCTTTTGCATAATATTAAAAAAAGGACAAAAACACAACAAGAAATAAAAAAGTATCCAGTTACATTATAATTTGTCGAAAACCCTAAACATTAAAAAGCTTTTGATTCAAAGTAAGAGAATAAAATACTCCAATTGTACACAATCTTGGTGATTGTACAATCCCGACCTTAATGTGAACATTGTAAAGCTGTTAATTTTAAAGATGAATTAAAAACCAGGTGTTGTCTCAAAGATGAACTGTGTCATCTATCTTCTCAAAGTGATTCTGAACATTTTCCCGCTTTATTAAAGAATCTTTTTTATGGGAACTGATGCAAAATGTCAATTCGCATCAATAAATGCTAAAACTGAAAACATTCTGGGTCACGGGTCATACCGTTTCGAAATTCCCGGTGAAGTATATTATTATGATTCAGAAAATAGTAAAATCGAAAATAACTTGCAATTTAATTCTGTTCAAAATCTTATTCAATAGCCTGCTTATAAGTTCTATATTAATACTACTTAGAAATCTATCAGTAAATAAAGGGTCATGCAATGGAACTAGAATGACTGTGAGAGGGTTTTATTAAAACGTTATTCAACTAAAAATAATCAATGGCACATTTCCTAGAAGTGTTCATTTTATCTCTAGAATTTTGTCCTGAGGACAAACTTTTAATAAAGTCGGACTCCATCTCCCCCCACCAAAAATGGGCAATTATATGCAACATGTTCAAAGAAAATAGAATTCCATTAGTATATAAACCAATTTGATATGTGGCACAATATGGTTAAATAGTAAATTTCTTAACTTAGGTAGAAGAAGCCAACCACTCCTTTTTTGCGCTTGCAAAGTTTGAAAAATGTTTATGGTTTCGCTACAGTAAATAGATGGCATTTTTAGAGTTTGAAGAATTATAACTCTCAGAGGGGCAGATAGGTAAAAATTTTCTTCTACGGAAATGAGTTTCCAGTAAAGATTTATGTTTAGACATGTTGTTTGATTTCGCCAAAGAAATCAAATTCGCTAGTGCGTGTAGCGAGGAGGAAGGACTAGCACACTTCCTGCATTCCTAAATTTTGCAGATTCACTGCAAAATGCAGTTGCCCACATGGCTCGCGCCCACACATAACATACAACTCTCAGGTATTTGACCTCTGCGTTCCTTCCTACCAGCTCCGTCGTACATGAAGTGCTCGTGTTCCAGCTTCCTTCTCCTAATATAATGTACCAGGGTGTATGCGGCTGGTGAAACTTTTTGTACAAAGAATCACCTCATACGAGTACTAACATTTAGTGATGATGGCAATATTATCAGCATAAGCTCGGAAATTAATTATTTAACCAAGCAGCTCATCAAGAAGCCCATTTACTACCAAAATTCACATGAATGAAAATAGACTCTGCTGGCGTCCCCTAGCCACGCAAATCTTTAGGGTATCATGCGCCACTACAGAATCTGCCACTCTTGTAACTTACATATTGGACATCTATTGGGAGTTGGTATTAGTCACTATTTCCCACAGACCTCTGTATAATTATGTCTGTTATCTTGTCGATCGTCTTCAGTAAAAACGATGTGGTGCTAATAGATCTGAATGACTTGGCCACCATTTGCGTCTTTCCCACTTTGGGGATAGTGACCATCTTGGTAGGATTCAGGGATGTATTCGAGCGCCAGGCTGCTTCAAAATACTCTTACTGAAAAAAACATAATTTGCTCCAGTTCTCGTTTCGGTAGAGGTGATGAAATCCCGTCATCTTGAAGTCTTGAAGGGCTGGAAATAACCTACAGCCCATTTTATCGTTTGGTGTGTAAATATAAGTGCAGTACCTTCGGAATTCTTCAGAATGTAATGTTTTAAATTCTCACGCTGCCGAAAAAATGCTTTCATTTTAGATGCAACAATCCAGCCCTCTGAAAGATTATATGATCTTGGAGAACGATCTGAAGCTTCTTCGACTAACCAGAGGTTATTAATTTCACCTTTAACTCTTTCCGGGTACCTACAGTCACAGTCCAAACTTAGGATTTGTCAAGGTGCGGCCTTAACATCCCTTGGTACACTAATGAGGCAACTCGATTCAAAAGCAACGACTATGGCCTCCAAGTTCTTAACAGCTCAGAGGTCATCTTTGTACACATCCAGACCAAGATGGATGGATTGATCGTCCGATATCTTCTTCGACACCCTTCAGATTTTCGGGTAGCTGAACGTAGTATTCATTCCCTGCATTACATACTTCTAGGTTTTCCTTAATTAAAAATTTTAGCAAAGGCTCACCTGGTGTTTTTCTATGGCTTGTCTGCCCCTTGTATACCCAGGTTTCGTCTATCACGGCTGTGCTCAGATATTTTTTGATAAACATCTTTTCCTTTATTATCTGGGGTTAAGCAACGGCTTAACATGTATTTGAATGTACAACAAAATGTTTGAAGAGAATGTTTGAGCAAAAGATACATAGATAAAATTAAAATTGTATACGAGTTATGAAAATGATTTGGTACTGGTTTTGTTAATGTTTTGTCGATTT